TTGTACGGCGTTCGAAGAACCAACGAGTAAGCATCTCTCTGATGCTATCCAACGAAGGAATGACTGGATACTCTCTTGGTGAGCGCAAAGCAGAGTTTATTGATTCAGTCGGGTTTGTGGTCCTGATGTCATACCTGTGGCATGGAAAATGGCAACGGGCCCACTTTGAAACATCTGCTTTTGTTAAATAATTTTCAATGGCTGGACTAATATTGCACACGGCTTGAAAATACATCTGAAAATCGACAACTCTATAAGCTTTAGAAGCTTTTGCAATCAATCCAACCACTCCTTTCCTCTGTAATCTGTGACCACATTATTCAACAAATGGTGAATGCAAATTCCGTGTTGAGAAAGAGGATACACATTCTCAAGACCCTTACAAAGTGAGCTATTACTGTCGGACACAAAAGCAAGAGAGTCGTCTGGAACAACAACCTTTAGTTGTCTGAAAAACCAATCCCATGAACGTTCATATTCTGAGTCCACAACCGCAAAAGCTATAGGGTACAAGTTGGAGTTTCCATCTAAAGTTGTTGCCACAAGTAACACCCCTTTGTATTTTCTCTTCAAAAAGGCTCCATCAACAACAACAACTTTCCGCATGGCTTTGTGAAAACCTTGTACTGATTGCCCAAAAGAAATGAACAGAAATCTGAATTTACCATCGACATCGGTTTCATAGAAGGTGTGTGTTCTTGGATTAGCTTCTTTTAGCATGTGCAAGTATCTTAGAATTTGTCCAAAACTCTGCTCCGGAATACCTCTAACCATATTAATAGCATACTCACGAGCATCCCATGCTAATGATTTAGATATCTCGCATCCATGATCCATTCTCATAATCTGTATAATATCATTAGTTTTGGGACCTTCTTTGACACCATTATACCTATGCATTATGAGACTCCCAATAGTTTTTGCAGAAGCTGTACGACCACCATTACTCATACTTGACGCAGCACATCTGTGATCTGCCATATATTTTTTGATTATGAAATACGTGGATCCTGATAACCCCTCAGCACGAACACTCCACTTACACTTGTCAATGCATCGGATGTACCAAAGATTTCTATATGATTTCACAACTTCGTAATCAAAGTTATTCTTCATTGCTTACATTTTCGATGTTGCTTTCAAATTCGATTTGTTTTCAAACGTTTTACCCCTCTTCACAACATCCATCAAAGAACACCGAACACTTTTTCCACTATCATCTTCTTTTCCTGCTAACTCGAGACCAACATCTTCTTCCCAATCGTTCGAGTTTCCATTGTCTTGTCTTCATCATCTTTATTTGACTCAGATGAACTACTCATATCATCTCGAGGTGAAAACGAGGAAGGTTCACATTGCTCACTGAAACGAGTTTAGAATCCTCTTTATCAACCTCAATGTTGGCGATGTTTTCATTGATAAGTGAAGTAGACACACATAACGTTGGCGAAGCTTTTCCACGTATATATGTAAGACATTTTTTGACTTGCCTATCATTCCCAATGATAACTGGGAGACAGTCTATTGAACTGATTAACTCAATACGTAAATAGCTTAACTCAAGCTCGACATCGTTTTTGTCAATTCCAAAATCTACAAAAGCCATAGTTCTTAGATCTTCAAACGAACTTGTCAATTCCACAATCAGAACTTTTCCTCCTTTGAACTTATCAACCGCAAATCCCCATCCTTTCAGGCGATCCAATTCCATTCAAGAGGCATAGATATGCATCTTCTTCAACAAAAGCTTCAAATTTTTTGTTTGTTTACAAAATTTTGTTCATCGTCATGAAGAAGAAGATGAAGACCACAATTTTTTTTAAAAAAAAACTAACTTAGGAAACACGATAATTTAGGAAAATAGATTTAAGATATATTATGTTAATAGATTTTATAGATATTTAAGGAAACTATATATTTCGAAATTGGTATAACATACCCTAGGTTATCCATAGAATTTAGAAGAAAACGATAGTTTAAGGTTTTTTTTTGGTAAACACCTTGAGGTAGGCTAAAGTGTTTTGGTAGATTAGTAATAAAATATTGCCAGAATATTCAATCATGGTAGATCGGTTGTTTTGTCTTTCTCTACCGTAGTTCATAAATATACGAAATCATAGATGTATTTATTCTACCATAGTAGAAATTTATGTAGTGGGCCCAATATTCAATGTACAAGCCCGTAGACATTAGACGACGCTTTTCTACCATCGGTAGATCAAAATATGAAATTATATTTCACTAATATTTATTCAACCAAATTATGTTTCCTATGATGGTCTATTGTTTCTAAACATTTTGTGTATATTTCCATATTTCTCTAACTGTTAAAATAATTTAAATGAATTTTAAAGTTGGCTAAGGATATCTAAATCCAAATCTGACCAAAAAGTGATTTATGGAAAAGGGACAATGTACTTATTTTCTATTCTGTTTTAGCAATTTTTTCTTATTTTTTTGTTTACTACTCAGATTTTACAGCATAAATTATTATGAAAGTTAGTGAGAAACTGATGCAGAGTAAAAACAGATAAGAAGGAAACCTCAAAACCAATTATATTGTTGTTGAAATGATTTAAAGTTTATTTAAATTAATATTAAACAGTTTTAAGTACAAAAGGTGGAGATCGTGGGCGAAAAAGGCGGGGGAATGGTTTAAAGACCTATGCAAGTTTATTGTTTTCTCGAGTAAAACTTAGGTGATGATTGTTTAGTGGTTTTTAGATTTTGGTTTTTAATTTTTGGTTTTTAGTTTCTAGTTTTTAGATTTTGGTTTTTCATTTTTGGTTTTTGATTTTGCAGTAGATTTTAGATTTTTGAAAAACATGATTGGTGATTTAGATTTTAGTTTTTGGTTTTTGATTTTATTTTTTTTAATTTGAATTGTTTAAGAGTTTTTTTTTTGTTTCTAAAATAGTATGAATGATTTCTCTATATATAAATATATGAACTATTTTTACAAAACTTGACTTATGGTTTAATTTATCACTAAAAGAAATAACTTTATATTAAAACTTTATTAATATATATATATATATTAAATAAAAATTAATAGCTATATTTTAAAATAAATTTAATTTTATATCTCTACGAAAACACACAATTGATAGTTAATTTCTTAAACTAAATAAAATTTAGTTGTATTTTTAAGATATGGTAAAACTAAAATTTAGATCCAAATATTATAAAATAATTATTCAACAACTGGATTTTGAAGTGCATTTACTTCTAGACAAATAATAGTTATATTTTATTTAAGAAATCAAAATAATTAAAAAAACTAATAGATGGTAAATTACATAAAATATAATTAATTCAAATACTTAACGTAAATAAAAACCAGTTAAATTATTTTAATAGTCTTAGTACAATAAATATTTATTATGATTAGCATAGATGTATTACATTTATGTATAACAAATAATACTAATAGATTAGTAACAACCATGTAACATAACATTTTATTGACAAGTTAAAAAATGTTGTTATATAAGTTAAGCAAGTGCTTGTTACGTAACCTTATTTTTACAGTAGGTATCATTTTTATTTGATTTTACATGCATAATTATAGGAAGAAATAATTTAATTTAAAAAGGAAAAAAATAAAAAAACCAACGCAAGTTACAAAAACCAAGAAAACTTGGATTTTGGTTTTTCTTTAGAAAAATACAGTTATTTGAAAAACCAGTTTCCCTATCTTCTAGGGAATCTATTTCTCTAAAAACTTGATTGTCTAAAAATTAGTTTTTTCAAAAATAAAAACCAAAAACTACTTCAAAATCTGTAAACAATCAACCTCTAAAAGTATTAAAAAATATTTTAATTTGTTTATGAAATTTTATTGAAACATAAATCATGTGTCAGAATTTGATTAGTTATGTGATTTGTGTTTTAATATATAAAGTATTATACTAAGCGACAACTATCTTTACCAAAATATAGATCGTTTTATGATATACTCGTTTAATTAATTTAAATGATAACTATTTTTCTTATTAAAGTTCAAGTAGTTTTTTCTTGGTCAAACTGGAATTTAAAATATATGAAGTAGACAACAAATAGGGTTAGCCGGTTAGGTAACTATAACATAAAACTTTGGGCGAGGCTAAGCAAGTATGAACGCGTAGGGGCATGTCCAACCAAAGAAAAAAAGAGAGTATGGGCAAATTAATAGTATGTTTTAAAAAAAAATTGAAGGGGAAATTTAAAAAAAAATATTGGATAGAGACGTGGTGACGTTTCTTGAACGCAATCATCGTAACTCGTTAATTCACACATCGTTTTAGTTTGGTTTTTATATATTCTTTTTTCCTTTGTCAACAATTTGATTAGATATGTATTTAAGTATGTGAATCCATTTTAGTGGGGAGGTTTTTTGGTTGTCTAGACATTTAACGCACATGATGATCCAGATTTGAAAAATTTATTACACGACACTATGGTGTGACTGAACTGAAAATGATTCTTCTTGTTTTATCTAGTTTGTGGGGTTAGAACGATAAAAGATACTGCCATACTGTAGTATTATCTATAAATAACTTTTCTAATAATTTTTCAATTTATATGGACAATTTGGAAATCTATCAAACTAAGAGTTAGATCATTCAAACTCATGTAATTGACTTTGAGAATAAAGTAACCAACCTACGGTGCAACTTTGAAAGAACTTTGGAATATATACACATTTCAAACAGTTAGGAATCTTTTAATCCACTATAATGAATTTCGTTTATTTTTTCTTCTCATTTTGGGGGACTTTTTCCTTTACATAATAAGAGGAGAGCGTTTTTGTGACTTTTAAATTCTCTTCAACTTGAATTATTTCATCTTTTCGCAACTTTTATTCTTGGATTCCATAAAGTCTATAGAGGAGTTCAATAATTAAATTATAATCTACAGGAATTAAGAAAGAAAAAACTGTACTTACATACATAATTAATTGGCTAAAAGAAAATCCTATTCTTTTCGATTTCAACCCTGTACAAAGGATCTCTAGACGGTCAAGAAGACATGTTAACATGTACACTAGCGTTCATGACCGAACCACAAACCGGACAAGTTCGTAACGAAGCAGAACCACAAACCGTACACAAACACAAATGACGACAAGGTAACACCAATACACTCGCTTCTCTCTCACCGCACCGCTTGCAACCGCTACTAACCACCCTAATAGCTTCACCACCTTCAACGCAACTTCCGCAATTCGATTCCGCATCGTCTTCTACAGCGGTTTCTGCGGTTTGTAACGTTTCCATTTGAGCAAGAACTTGGTCGAGGTTTGTTCTAAGGTTGTTAGCGTGTGCTTCGTTGGTTTGAGCGATATCGCGCAAGATTTGGTTTTCAACGTAGAGACTCTTTACTCGGTCTTGTAAAACGAAGTTCACGTTTCTTATCCTTACTATTTCGTCGTCTTTCTCTTTTAACTTCTTGGCTATCGCGTTTTGAACCGAAGACGCTAGCATCCGCGTTTGCGTTTGCTGACGTGCTTCAATCTCTATTCTAAGCTTCTCTGTTTGCTGAGCCACAAACCTATCAATCTCCAATTGTTGCTGGTTTTGAAACTGACATAAGAGTTCAGAATTTATCAACGATGATGATAAACCAAACGCGCCGGACCTCCGTTTAACAGCAGGTGCTAAGTTAGCGTTTGTGTCAAGGTACTGAGATCCTCTTGGACGTTTTGTAGACGCTTCAACAGCCATTGATACGTTTCTTTTAAAAATCTCGGAGAAGCTGAACAATGAAAAAAAAGGAGAAGGAGGAGAGTTGTGGTGTCTGTGGAGAAATATATGAGGGTCGGCTTTTATTTAAGGGAGAGAAAAAGTCAAATTAATTTTCTAAGTATGAGTAGTTGTTTATATATCTAGTTTGCCTAGAAATAATTCTCAATTCTAGGAAAAAAACAAGAATTTATGGTTGGATTACCATATTTGTTTTTACAAATACCATATAATTTTATACATTTCTGAGTATTTATTTTTAGAATTATTTAACAAAAAACATATTGGGGGAAATTATGAGCTTAAAAAGAATATTTCTTGTATATTTATATATGGACAAAATATATGTAATATGTCTTTCTTGAAATTCGCAAAATCAAGTCTGTAAAAGTAAATTTGTTTAAGAATTGTGGACAAAAATATTTCTGCCTAAGAATTTTGTAATATTTATATTTTGTCTACTCAGTGCACTTATGCATGTTTCCTGCACTTATGTATGTTTCCTTTACGAAACAAATGTATGTAACAGTGTAGCTTGACCAGTCAAAAGCAGGGGCGAATCCGGAGATAATATTAGTGGGTGTTACTAACTGTATTTTGAACTAAATCACTCTTTTTTAGAGTATTTCCATTTCATATACACATAAAATACCTTATTTAGCTCCATACCCTGTTTTCTTCTTCTCTTTCTTTCTCCCAATACTAATTTTCCCCCTAAAATATGACAAATCCCTAAATATCTACTTCTTTTGGTATTTTGAACTAAATCACTCTTGTTTTTATTATTGGGTGCACTAAAGATAAAATTTCCTTAAAATTTCTTGTATTTTTACACTAAAAACTGTTTTAAATTAAACAAAAAATGGGTGCATAGGCACCCCATATTTAATACGGGCATCACCCTCAAAAATATCATCACAATATCAATATCTGCTTTTATACCATTTCTAAAACTTTATAATTATAGTAATATAATGATAAAACTGTTTTCAAACAAGATAATTTATTATATTATACTGATCACTTCTGGATTCAATTTCTATTATTTAACTAATTTAAATTTGAGTTTAGGTCCAAATAATTAATATGCTGGATTGTAATAGATGATCAATTCACTTCTTGACATTGATCGGAAGTTATTATAAACTTGATTAAATAATGTACTATATTTTGGGCTAATTTATTCTGTAGTCTGTAATACTAAGTATGTTGCTTCTGGAACGGATCAGATCAATCGATAGAATTTATCAAAAAAATACGATAGTTCATTATATTGTGTTTAAATCATTATAATATCAATATATACTTTTGTACTATTTCTAAAACTTTAGAATCACAATATATAATGATAAAACTGTTTTGAAAAACACGGTAGTTCAATGTATTGTGTTTACATTAGTTCCATTCTAATCGCTTTTAAGTCGACCCATATTCTGATAATTTTGCTTGAAAATCGTTGCGTCCCTAGGTTATGATTATATGTATTATCTTTTTGTTTTTTCCTGATTTGAATCTCTTTTTTAAGCTGTTAAAGGATATTATGGGTCTGAATGGTGACCGCAATTTTTATAATATTAGCGGTGTGGAATTAGAGTGCGGTACGGTACAACTGCGATTCACGCGGTTGTGGGATGAGTGCGAATTTAATAAAAAAGTAATGTGGTTTTGATAAAAAGTAGTACGGTTTTGTTAGAAAATAATATAATTTTTAGAAAATAATAATATATATAGAAATTGAATGAGCTGAATTTTAGTAGAAAGTATATATTATTATTTTTATCCCTTTATTTAGGTATCATATGGAGTATTGTTTTCCTAAATCTTATAACTGCGCATCAAATCAGTTGTCCAGTAGCCATGAAAAACATGCATGATTATTCTGTTTACTGCAAGCATAGTAAATTTGCACGTGCGAGACGTGCGGGCCCATGATGTTAAGCTGATGCCACGTCTAAGTAGGACCAAGTGAAGCAAATTTTCTGTGTCATTCTTTGTGAAACAGTACTAAACCAAATAATATTCAATAATATTAAGAAAATATAAATTTGTCGTAAACCATCTCGTAGCAAACGACATATAAATTGTCTCCATTGTCGTATACTACGCCTAACATCATCACTATCTTAAAACTTTTTTTTAATTTAATTTAACAAGTACTAGATTTTGACCCACGCTTGAGAAACGCGGATTTTGTTTCGGTTATAATAAAATGTATAAAATGATCCGATTTCTATTATATGATAGTTTTTATATGCGAAATTTGATGTATATTTAACGTTTTAGTAGGGTCTTTTCATTTAGTTTCCATAACCGAGTCAGTTTGTGGTTAAACAGAGAATCAAAAAATTAAGTGTTATGAGAGTTTGAAGAATTAAAACACATATTAGATTGAAACCATGACCTATAATAAACTTGAAAAATTAATACTATTAAAAATACCCAAAATGGTATTACAAATTTGTAGTTAAATCCAATAAATATGTTAATCGGATTATATAGTTTATTTATGTTTCGAAAATTTTGTTTTGACCCGTGCTTGAGAAATTTATAATAAGTAGGGAGACTAAATTTATACTATTAACCATAAAAATATTTTTTATGCTTTCCACGAGACTAAACTCCAACTTATTCTTCTGTTTCCCACCACTACACCCTATGGTTTCCAGATCACCCAAGTCTTGAACTTGTCCAATAACATCTAGATAAAAATATACCCGTGTTAGATAGATACACAACAATGAAGATAATTTATAAAAATGGGAGAAAACTGACCAATAAGAAAATTATTAACATTTATGATTCAAAATAATATAGTTTTAAAAATAGAAGAATTGTTCCATAAATATAGGGAATAATATTATCATTTAGGTTACACTTTTACAAAATGAAGATATCTAAATCATAAATCTATACAAAACGATAAACCTACATTTGCATCACAAATGATTAGTTCCATGGTCTCCCCTATGTCTTTCATGAAATGTCTCCATTGCAAATTATTCATCATTTTTGTTTTAAGTTTTTCAATGAATGATGAATATAGTGGTTAAAAGAGGCTATATTTATAATAGGTCGGGACGATATACATTTAGGTTACGCAAATGTAGGAAAGAATATTTAGACGATTTTTAAAAATATATCTCTCGAGGAATAAGGAATATTTCTTGAAAATATTTTGAATTAGTTAAGAAGTTTATGCTTAACAGTTAATGGTAATACAATTACGGTAAGTTACCGAAATTTATGGAATCCAAACAAAGAATAACTAACCACGATATTGATTGTGGCTAATTTATAAACTTGTAGATGAAGTAATTCATTTATTTTAGTACGAAGATAATTATAAAAAATAGTTTTTGCAATATTTTTAACAAAACGTATCTCATCCATTAAATGTCACTATGAGAATGATGATATATCGACATATAAAGAGAAGTTAATACGAAAATATTTGAAATTATCTTGCATATAACAAATTTAGTTATTATTCAATAACAATATTCATATATTATTTAAATATTTTCAAAATCAGATATCAAAGATATTACCAAGAGCTTTCTAATATTGCATTTTGACAATATCTTTTAATATATTTTTCAGTAAAATATACATATTTATTGTTTTAATGTTTATTTTAAATAATAGAATGTACTTTTAAATATTATTACAATTAATTTTAATTCATTTGGATTTTTTAAATAAGAAATACCATTACTATAATATTTATAAATACATTATTCATAATTAAATTACTACAATAAATAATATATATATATATAATAACGTAATTAAAATTATTGTATAAACTATAAATTAAAAGAATTACATATTCATGACAACATATATTCATAGAGTTTACAACATACTTCAATTTATTAATGCAAAATATTAAAATATATATTAAAAGAATAAAAAATTATATTTAATATAATATCTAAATTACTATATTAAAATATAATTTAGTATATTTTTATTTGATAAAAACAATATTATTTTTTTGATTTTATTATACAGTATATTGAATTATATATTATGATTTAAAATTACAGTTTATTACAATTTATTTTATAAATATGTAAACATTTATAGTTATGAGAGCATCTGAACACCATATATTTAATTTATATTATAATAAATATTTATGTAGTCAGTCTATAGATTAAAACCGCAATATAAAGTTTATAAAACAATATAAATGTATGAAATATAATATGAAATATGGTTAGAGTAATTAATGGGAAGAGAGATAATAAATCGGGTATATTTAATATGTGATATGATTTGTAACAATTGATATATATATATAGATGTATGACGAAAATAAATTACCAAAATGGCATTAATGAAAGGTGCACACAACTTTTATCAGTCAAATTTTCAAGGGTGTTTTCACTTTTAATAGTATAGATTTCATATTTATAAAAAGATACAGACTAATCTATAATGGAATGCTACATCTCAAATAATTAAACTTTGGGAAATTCTCTCAAATAGCCATTTTTAAAAGTTTTTATCACAAAAATAGACCTCAAAAATAAAAATGACCAAAAAAGCACTTTTTATTTTAAAAATTTTAAATTTTCTAATTTTTTTAAATTCGAAACCCTATCCCCAATACCACGCTCCTTAACTCTAAACAAAAAAAAAAAATCTAGGATTAGTTAATCCAAGGGTATAAATGTATATTTAATAAAACATTTAAGTGATATTTTGATCATTTTAATTGTTAAGGTCTATATTTGTGATAAAAAAAATTTAGGTCAATTCTAATCATTTTCTCTTAAATTTTTGATATTGATATAAATTAGTTTATCTATGTAAGGTTGATATAGAAAGTTATGGCGCAAATTAGTATGGCGATATTGAAATAGAAAGGTTGGTATGGACTAGGTTGCATGAAATCGGAAACGGATACGTGAAAACGAAACGTTTCGAAACATGAAAATGTGATTTTCTAAAATAATAGAAATGGAAACGTTTTAGAAATTTCTATAATATTATATATATATATATATATGATTAGTCAACATGTAAACTTAATTTTTT